AGGCGATTGTTCGAACGGATTCGTGAATACCACCATGCGTGGCTGAATACCGGAACGATTAAATCATTCACCAGGGCAGTGGTTTCATACTTAGCTGAAATAAATCACGCAGTGGACGTGGTTTCTCGCTCCCTGTATAAAGTTCGTGGGCGATTATCGAGGCAGGTTCGCCGTCGGATGCTGGACACAGTAGAAACGGTGGGTATTCATCTGCACACACACACACACACACACACACACACACACACACACACACACACACACACACACACACTGTGTCCAAAAACAAATTGTGCAAACGTTAAAGCATCCTTGGCCCAGTCCTCACACACCGTATCACGACTGATCTCCATGATCCGATGAATGGATAAACAACTGTGATCATGGCAAATCCGATCTCCGGTCTTATGATGAAATCGTTTTCTAGTAATCAGTGATGTGATGTTATTTTATTTTCCAAAGATAATTTTATTCAAAGGGGAATTCATCGTGTATAGAACAAACAAAATGTGAAATGGAAAGCTAGGAAGCACCGTACAGCTGTTTCGACCTGGTTGAGTTCCATCTGTAGTGTGAAATTGAGTCAAATCTTCCATTACTCTCAAGTAACAATTGTAGTGATATATATTTTGATCCAACAACATGAATACGAACCTCTGACAACGAGATTGTTCGCCACTCTGTTGTTTTGTTTGAAATAATAATAATATTCAAAAAATGCTACTGTACAGTCTACAGTTACTTTTCATTAATAAGGCAATAGTGCAGACAAATTCAAATATATATTAAATATCTCTAACACTTTGGGACGACCACAGATTTCAGTTTAGTTGCTGTGAGAATCCTATAAATCACTGGTTACTGAAAAAGTAATCGAAAGGTGCGAATAGAGTCAGAATTTTTAAAGTGATAATACATGTAGTATCGTCCAAAAATAACCAAAGAAATAAGGTATATATTACATTGTATCTTTATTGTACTACTATTGTACCCACACGGGTGCTTCGGTCACGCTCTCGCGTTTGATCTACACTCCACTGCCTTGTGGGCCACACTTGTGAGTCGAAGGCTACGGTTAGGGTTCCCAAAGAAAAAAACCCTTTGACGGTGTGGGCTACCGCGAAGTATACCGTGCCCAAAGTCTTAGGTACCCATTTTGATAACTCTTTCTTATCTGTCCACTTCTTTGTCTCGATCCCAAACCTTAGGAAATGCATCCGGTTTAAGCCACCCATGGGACATCACTCAGCGTTCAACTAATGAGGTCAACCATTCAGAGGCTATCAGATATTTTAAAACCAAAATCTCCTTTTCACTTAGCCGCAGTTTATGTCCGCACACTCTACCAGATCAGTCAACAAGTTGTCTTGGTTAGAACCCTTCAAACCTTCCATCTAGATGTAAGCTGCGTCTCCGAAACACGCATTCAAGACCCTACTTCCATCATCTCCCTAGGTTCTCCAGATCCAACCTCATCCTCACGTTTCAATCTCTATGTCAGGCGATTCTGTATCCGAAGCTCGTGGTGTTGCTGGTGTCGGGATTGCGCTGTGTCAAGGCCGAGCGTTTACTTCTCGACTGGATCCCAATTAGTAGCCGACTTTGCGCTGTACATCTGGATGGTTCAGTGCGGATCAACAGCTACAGAACGAAGCATCCATGTTTGTTTGTCATATCCGCGTACGTACAGACTGATTGCAGTTTACCGGAAATGAAGGATGGATGCTCAGCTGCTCCAAAGTCCTCGGTCAACGGACATCAAGGTAGCCGTCGAACACTTCAATGCTCAAGTGGGATCCCTGGACGAATCAGAAAGACTACTTGGTGGTTCTATTGCGATTCCAGCTAATCGGACTGACAACGGAGATAACCTAGTCCAACTTTAGGCTGATCACGGACTGTTTCTGTCAAGCACGAACTTCTCACACAAGAAACGACATCGCCTTACACGGAGACCGTCAACCACTTCACAGCGCTAGACTCAAATCGACTACATCGTAAGGATCCATTGAAGACTGCCGCTCCTACTGGTCAACACACGTGGACACGGACCATGCTCTGCTACGAGTGAGATTCTCCCTCCACCTAGTAAAAGAACCTCAGAAAAGTCACCGATAACGGACGCTCACGATACAATGTGAGCGACTGCTGAAAATCAGCCTTCGAGGCAGAAGTATCAGATCGCCTATCAGCTCAACCATCTGCCAGAGGACTTAGTGAATACTGGACGACAATCAAGGAAGTGATCCAAACGTCGANNNNCGAGCAAAACAACGGTAGATTCTGGCAAACCATCAAATAAAAAACGATGAATCTCCCCGACCTCGATTGCTTTGCTGGACGCTTGAAAAACCATTCCCTCGGATTCAAAATACGACAAAGCGCGGGAATCCCTTAAACGCCAGGTCATCAGAAAAAGGAATGACCGCGAGAAGTGTAGACAGATGGAGGAGGCTGCCGCTATCGGTAATAGTCGCAATCTTTTTTTTTGTTTACTTAGGAGTGCAGGTCCAAGGAAAGCACGCTTGAGGAGATCAAGGAGTGTGACGGCAAACTGACCCATATTCAGAAACGTCGTCTA